CAGCAGTTTAGAGTCTAAAGATGGAAGATAAATAAAATGGCTATCAACATACCGATATCACCGAGAGCAAGACCACTGTAAATTGACATCATATCTAGGAGGCAGTAATTACTGTACATCAGAGACTGCTGTGAGTACTTCATATGAATTCACTTAATCATCATAAATCCATAAGTAGGTATTATTATTATCTTCATTTTACCAAGAGAAGGAAAGAAAGGTGCAGGGTAGTTAATATGTCTGCACCTGTTGAATGACAGAATTCAAACCCAGGCAGGCTGCCTCCAGAGCCATTGTTGTTAACCACTTTCCTAAACTGCTTATTAGGGAACGAGCGTTTTTAAGTTCCTTCTGCGTGCCAGTACTGTGCCAGGCTCTGTACATTTTTTCATTGAAGCTCCTTGGCAGTTCAAGCTCCTAACACAGGAGGGAACTAAGGGCTTAAGTACTTTCTTGTGCAAGGTCCTTGGCTCCTAAGTGACAGAGGTGGGATTTGAACCCTGGCCCAATGGCTCCACTGTGCCCTGCTTGGAACTTGCTACACATTCACAGCCATCACTCGTGCTGCGCCAGCCAGCTCTGTCAAAAGTGTCAGGTGTCGAGACTGCCTGTTCAGCAAGTGCACAAATGAAAGATCAACTGCAGCTCAGCTTCATTTTTGGATCAGACCTGAAATTGACATCTCTCTCAATATCCCTCTTTTTCACACGCCATTAAAGTGGCATTGCTCAACCTTTCATTTTTCTTCTGTGTAAGTGGCCTTGGTGTTGTTGGAAGTTGCCACACTGATGGAGCTGAGGTTCAGGTCCCTGCCCTCCCCCTGCCTGGCCCTCTCACTCAACAGCACAACTTCATGAAAGTCCACCTGTTGGACAGTGCCCGTTCAGCCACACCAGACAGTCCCCCAAAGGTCTGGAGGAAGCCCAGGCTCTGTAATGACAGCAAAATACAGAAGCACTTGTGTTCCCCCCAGAGGGGTTCCATAAGCCTCATGGAACACTCACTCTCAGGCAAAGCTTTTCCTGCTTTAGGGAGCCTTCCCCACGGATGAGATGAAACCTAGGGCTTGTTTCCTTTCTTTGTACTGCTGAGCTGTTGGGTTCCCACCCTCCCTGTCCTTCTTTCATTTCATGAAGCTTTTCTTTCTAGCTATAGATAATGTTTGCCTAACACCTTTCTCCCGGGCCCTGCCTGCTGCTGCGTTAGACTCCCAGCTCCCACGTCTCTCTGTAGCTTCCACAGGCATGTTCCCGTTCCACTCACTGCCCTCTGTCATAGGTACCTCTCACGTTTTTAGATTACTCATTTATTTACACACTCAATTTAGTGTGCCCTCAGTGAATGCTATTTCTATATGCCAGAGAGTGTGGGGGACAGTGACATGAAAGAGAGCTAAGCCAGCACATGGTGGAGGATCCTGGCCCTTGAGCCAGGCTGCCTGGGTTTGAAGCCCAGCCCCCCACTTACTATCTGTAACTTGATGTTGGGTAATTTGTAAGAACTTAGAACAATACACAGTTAAACGTTGCTTAACGACAGGGATACGTCCTGAGAAATTAGACAGCATTAGGAGATTTCGTCACTGTGCAAACATCCTGGCATGTACTTACACTAACCTAGATGTACTTATACAAACCTACAGCCCACAACATACTTAGGCTCTATGGTATAGCCTATTGCTCCTGCGTGAGTAATGCATCGTGCTGTGACATTACGACAGCTATGCCATCACTAGGTGATAGTAATTTTTCAGCTCCCTTATAATCTTACAACACAACTGTCACTTACGCGGTCCTTTGTTGACCAAAACATATTATGCAGTGCATGACTGTATAACTTTTTAAGTAATCGCACTACATAATAAGTCATTAATAAATATTAGCTGCTGCTTATTATTGGTATATGGTTGTTATTTATTTGCTATTGCTATATAACAAATGACCACAACATAGCAGCTTAAAACAATGCAAATTTATGATCTCACAGTCTCGGGGGGTCAGAGGTCTGAGCATGGCCTGGCTGGATTCTCCACTCGAGCTCTCACTGGGCTGTAATCCAGGTGTCAGCAGAGCTGCCCTTGTTCTCAAGGGCATGTGGTCCTCCTCCTAGCTCACTGGCTGTTGGCAGAATTCCTCTCCATGCAGTGGTAGGGCTGAGGCCTCACTTTCCTGCTGGCTTTTGGCCGGGGATGGCTCCCAACTCCTGGAGTCCAGTTCTTTGCCGGGTGGCCCCTATGGGCTGCTCACAACAGGGCTCTTTCCTTTCTTCTAGACCCAGGTCTAAAGGTTCAATGACTAGGTCAGGCCCACCTCAGTAGTCTCCCTTCTAATTAATCCAAAATCAACTGATTAGTAACCTTAATTATATCTACAAAAATCCATGTGATGTAACTTAATCCCAGGAGTGATGTCACCCTTGCAGGGTCTGCCTCAAGGGGGAGGACATTGTACAAGGGCGAGGGCCACAGAGGGTCATCGAGGGTCATCCTAGGCTTCCTTCCACTACAGTGGTCTCTGGTAGGAGTAGCCACGATGCCACCAACCTGCAGTATTTCCCTTAAATGATCCAGAGCACTTCAATTCACTTACCTTTGCATAGTGAGAAGCTCCTTGTCAGTGAAGTATATAGATATTGGACTGTATTAGTTTTCCAGGGCTGCCGTAACCAAGTATGACAGACTCACGGCTTAACACAGGAATTTATTATCACAATTCTGGAGGCAGAAAGTCCAAAATCAAGGTGTCAGCAGGTCCATGCTTCCTCCCAGGGCTCTAGAGAAGAAGCCATCCTTGCCTCTTTCTGGTGGTTTCCAGCAACCCTTGGCATTCCTCAGCTTACAGACGTGCCCATCACTCAAACCTCTGCCCACGTCCTTATGTGGTATTCTCTCTGTGTGTCTCTGTATCCAAATTTTCCTCTTATAAGGAACCAGTCCTGTTGGATTTAGGGCCCATCCTAATCCACTGTGATCTCATTTTAACTTGATTATATCTGCAAAGATTATATTTTCACATAGGTCACATTCACAGGTACTGGGAAGTAGAACTCGAACAATGCCTTTGGGGGGACACAATTCAACCCACAACTAGGACTGTTGTCTGCATGTACCTCTTCTTCCTCCAAATCAGCACCCTATGGAAAGCTCAACCTCCTTCCCTCCACCAAATAACTTTATTCTGTGTGTCCCAGGTACCACGTCTGGACGAAAGGCCACGCACCCACAAATTTCGCCAAGTGGCGGACTGCCACCACACCTTACCGGGTTGAGTGGGAGGCCGATTTCGAGCCATATGTTGTTGTGAGACGTGACTGCCCTGAGTACGACCGGAGGTTTGTGGGCTTTGGCTGGAACAAGGTGGCCCATATCATGGAACTAGATGCACAGGTAAGACGAACAGAGCATCCACCTGGTGCTGGGGGAGGTGGGAACGGGGCAGCCTCAATCTTAGAGCTGAAAAGGAACCTTGGAGACAAGAAAGCAGAGACCTAAGGGGGGACATGATATGTTCATGGACCTAGAGTGAGGACATGGCAGTGTTAAACCTCAGGGCTGTGGATCCAGAACTGTTGTGCTTTCCTCTGCCCTTGGATAACAGTTGGATTGCTGGCCAGGACCCAGGCCAATGTGTTTCCTGAGACAAACCATTTCACCCCCCGACACACATCCTCACCCAGCTCCATGATGAAGACAAGCAAGAGATGACCCTTCATCCCTTGGGCTTTGAGTTATGTCATCGACACAGAAAATAAGAGTTCTATATAAATGGCACAAGGCATGCTACTCAGACGCAGCTAATTGTTCTACCCGTTAACTAAAAAAGCAGTGATTTCTAGGCTGTATTTAATCATGAACCCATTCATTCATTCCAGTAATACTTACTGAGCACCTACTTCGAAAGAAATTTGCAGAATTCTGATGGGTGAAACCGGGGGCCAGCAAACTTTTTCTGTAAAGGACCAGATAGTATTCAGGACTTTGTGGGGCCCACAGG